TGTCCTGAATTAATGACATAAAAGAGGGAGGTCTGCAGGGAACTCGGTTGGCAGGTTTATGGTCGTCAGTTACTGAGTGAATATCTCTGCCCAGAACCTCAAGCAGAGCTTTAATATGTTTCAAATGTGCCGCCTTAGTGTGAGAGGTTCAGCTACGTCCAGGGCTTAGCACGTCGTGGCCTTCATACAGTTCCAATAGGATATCAGGGTTTAAATTACACTATTGTACCAGTTTAACTCTGTTAAAATAGAACATATCAACATAGAAAGATCATTTCAACAGTCCCCATCTTCACCACAGGCCACAGGAAACGTTGGCTGCTACTATCAGACAAAACTGTTGTCAGTCAAGTTGCATTGTGGGTAGTGTAGGCACCAGGGTTTGACAAGAACAAGACAACCGCTCTGGTTTTGCTGCGCTATTTTGATACTAAAATATGTTTTAAACCCTCCATCATGAGTCTGTCTGTGACCTTGGCACAGGAGCACTAATAACAAAATCACTGAGAAAGAAAAATACTTTTTTATTTCTTGGCCCACTATGCCGTGACCTCTCGGATGTTTTCTGGGGCACACTGAGGGGTCCCAACACCCAGGTTGGGAAACATTGCCTCAGACTGGTCCATCAGGCTGTCCGCCCACTCCCTGAGTGTCACACCAGTTAATGACCAGTTACCTTTAAGTCAAAGCGACTGTTTTTCACAACATAACTTCAGTGGGTATGTTTCTCACCTGTCCTCTGACTAAATGAGGGGCAGACATTTGTTCACATCCTGGGGTCAACCCAGGTCACATATCCACTGGTCATTCTGGTGACACGTTCTTTTGATGTACTCTCCAGGGGAGACGTCTCAGATCACGTCGCCCGATATTCAAGGATATTGTTTTCAAAGCTACAACATTAACTTTTACCCACTTGGAGAGAATCCTCGTACTATCAGGAGCCAAAGTTCACATGTTTGAGCTGCGTGTCTGTCGCAGCTGATTGGTTCAATCCTCACCTGATCCTGACAAGGTTTCTGCCGTGTCACACATATCAACACATACCGGGGGGGGGGTGGCACTGGCACTTTACTTGTTCTTTTGCTGGAAGGTGGTGGGTGGCTGACATTTTATTCCAGCTGTCCTGTAGCTAACAGCTACTACCTAACAACATAAAGGTGCTCTTTGTGACCTACAGAGGACAAGAGCCACATCAACCGTTCTGTCAAGGACGACCATGAGTTGGACAGCAGTGACAGCTGCAGACGGTTCTGTGGGCCTACAGAAGGAAACGGGGGTGATGAAGAACCAGACCTCAGCAAAGCTGGTTTAAGGAAAGGAGGAACTTTTCTGTCAATAAGGGAAGTTAGCAGACACATTCCTAGGAAGGAGGAACTGTAGGCAGAGGTGTGTGTGAGTGTGTGTGTGAGTAAGAAGAAGGGAGAAAGAGAGAGTTTATTGAAAAGGAAATATAAAGTAAAGATGTGATTGATCAAGTAATAATCAGTAGTGATCTATGTTTTAAATTCAAGGCACTGACAGTTTTTGTGTAACGGTGTGTAATTCTGAGGGTTTAGTTAGATGTGATGGGATTTTTTGTATTTTGACCAGGTGTGAGATTCTTGCATCGTTATCAGCCATCACAATGATTTGTTTTTCAGAAAAGAGAAGCAGATAAAGCTGAATCTCAGTGGGAGGAGGCCAGTTACAGGCAGTGGACTGAACTTTGACGGTAAAAGATACACAACAGTTCTGAAAAACAAGACCTGGAAAAGCCAGAAAAGGTAATAGCTGGAAAATGTGGCATCTGGTTGGACGAAGGGACTAAGCCGCCTTGTTAGTCTGTTTTTTGATATTTTTCTGAGGTTTGATTGGACCAGAAGACGACGCCTGCCACTTTATTAGTTTGGTTTTGGATGTTTTCCTGAGGTTTCCAAAGACTGGAAGACAGTGGTTTGCTTGAACTGGAAGGAAACGTCCTGCCTGAAGGACGATGTACGAGGGAATGATGATTCCCACCAAAATACCACAAGCACCAGCTCAAACCAGCTGAGGACTGGATTCAGTGACTGAGAGCTAATCTATAATGATCTTAATCAGTGTGATAGTTTAGATTGATATTTAGATTGTAAGATAATCTGAATGATTATTAATTTGCCTTGTTGCTTCCTAACTCATTTTACCATCTATATAAAATATAAAAAAGGTTCAACTTTGTCTTTATTGAGTCAGTTTTGTTTAATATTGTTGTGGTTTCAGTTTGTGTTTACAGCTGCACATGATAGTTAACACATAAATTATAATAAAAATAGTAAATGTGGTCAATTTCTTAAGAACATTAATGATGATTGAAAATTAACATTAAACTACTTCAACAATCTTTACTTACATCAGTTGTTTACTCATTATATTACACACACTACAACGTAAATGTCCTACATTAGAAAATAACTTGGCAGCTAAATACTGTGCAAAGCAAACATGGTCATAAATGAGCAGTGTCTCAGCTTCTATGGTTTATTTCAGACCAAATTCGACACTTCCTCAAAGAGCCAGAGAATACTGGTTCCTAAAACCTCTCAGTAGAGTAACATCTGATGGTATAAGGAGGGAGCTGCAGGTTGTTAATGTTCAGGAGGATTTGGGGTCTTGTCCTGAATTAATGACATAAAAGAGGGAGGTCTGCAGGGAACTCTGTTGGCAGGTTTATGGTCGTCAGTTACTGAGTGAATATCTCTGCCCAGAACCTCAAGCAGAGCTTTAATATGTTTCAAATGTGCCGCCTTAGTGTGAGAGGTTCAGCTACGTCCAGGGCTTAGCACGTCGTGGCCTTCATACAGTTCCAATAGGATATCAGGGTTTAAATTACACTATTGTACCAGTTTAACTCTGTTAAAATAGAACATATCAACATAGAAAGATCATTTCAACAGTCCCCATCTTCACCACAGGCCACAGGAAACGTTGGCTGCTACTATCAGACAAAACTGTTGTCAGTCAAGTTGCATTGTGGGTAGTGTAGGCACCAGGGTTTGACAAGAACAAGACAACCGCTCTGGTTTTGCTGCGCTATTTTGATACTAAAATATGTTTTAAACCCTCCATCATGAGTCTGTCTGTGACCTTGGCACAGGAGCACTAATAACAAAATCACTGAGAAAGAAAAATACTTTTTTATTTCTTGGCCCACTATGCCGTGACCTCTCGGATGTTTTCTGGGGCACACTGAGGGGTCCCAACACCCAGGTTGGGAAACATTGCCTCAGACTGGTCCATCAGGCTGTCCGCCCACTCCCTGAGTGTCACACCAGTTAATGACCAGTTACCTTTAAGTCAAAGCGACTGTTTTTCACAACATAACTTCAGTGGGTATGTTTCTCACCTGTCCTCTGACTAAATGAGGGGCAGACATTTGTTCACATCCTGGGGTCAACCCAGGTCACATATCCACTGGTCTTTCTTGTGACACGTTCTTTTGATGTACTCTCCAGGGGCGACGTCTCAGATCACGTCGCCCGATATCCAAAGATATTGTTTTCAAAGCTACAACATTAACTTTTACCCACTTGGAGAGAATCCTCGTACTATCAGGAGCCAAAGTTCACATGTTTGAGCTGCGTGTCTGTCGCAGCTGATTGGTTCAATCCTCACCTGATCCTGACAAGGTTTCTGCCGTGTCACACATATCAACACATACCAAAGTAGCACAGGTGCAAAGGAAGTGCCATGGACTTTTTATTTATCAGCCGTGTATATCAGACATGCATCGCAAAGTAGCACAGGTGCAAAGGAAGTGCTGTGGACTTTTTATTTATTAGCCGTGTATATCAGACATGCATCAACATGCACACACAAAGGAAGCTGTGGAATATGTAGGTGGGAACTAGAGTGCAACTCAGTCCACCTGGAGCCTGGAGGTTAACCCGGTTTAGCCAGAAGTTATCCATCAGTTTTCTGGAAAATGGTGCATTAACAAACCTGCTCTTCAGAATAAAATGTCTTGCAGACAGAAGACAGAAGACAGAAGGCTCCCACGTGCACAGGGGAAGATGACAGGGTCCCACTTAATATTTAACACATGCACAACTACACCGGGGAAATGTATGTTTTGGTGATGCCCTTGTGCAACGTGGCCACACAGATCAGCTGTGATGTCACCTGATCTTTTACGACAGGAGCACAGATCAACATGAGACAAAAAGTGGGAATTCCCTCACTGGGTGTGAGCGTGGACACACACTCCGTTACAACATACTGTCCAGGGGCAGTGATAACAAGGGTTTTGATAAGTGCTCTGATCAGTTATGAGTGCACGTGAGGTCAAGTTTATTTACTATGTGATACAGTTCATGATATGGCAGAAGGACAGCGTCCTGGTTTTGTTACATGGTCACTCACTAATACAAAGAGCCCCAAGGTCAACATCCATGTCAGTCACCTGTCGCAGCGTGCACAGTTTGGGACAAACTACATGCAAGCAAAAGGATAACATCCGTCTTTGGTGCTCACTTCAGACAGTGTTCTACAGGGTGAAGAGAGAGCGGGAGGCTACAGAGAGGAGGGAGGACACTTTAATCCTCAAAGTGGACAGTGCTGTCACTCAGCAGAACATGCCAGCGCTCAGTCTTCTTGTCTTTGCTCTTGAGGCACTCGTACCAGTGCTTCAGACACTCGCCTTTGGCCTGGATGCCTAGCTGACACCCCCCTGAAGAGAAAAGGAAGCATTAAGGTGTGAACCAGACTTTCTCTCTGTGCCACAGAACACGGTCCTCATTCACTTCAGTGGGTAAAGTGTGAAGTGGGAACGGCACTACTTTCTCTCTGTGCCACAGAACACGGTGCTCATTCACTTCAATGGGTAAAGTGTGAAGTGGGAATGGCACCGTTTCTGTAACGTGTTGGCCAATCACACACAAGCTAGCGTGTATTATAGGTGGATGACTTTGTAATGTGAACGCTGTAACGATAAACCTGCTGCTGTGTGTCTGTGACGGTTACAAACCTCTGCTGGGTTTTGGAGTCTAATGAAGGTTAAACACATTAATGTGTCCCTCCAGCTGGACTTCCTGGATGACACTTCACTGTCCCACAGCACTCCCCCACCAGCTCAGCCTCATGAGACTCTCCAGCTAGCAGCACTTAGAGCGCACGTTGCAGGTTTAGTCTCTACCATGTTCGCCATCCTGGTTTAGCGTGTCACAGACTGGGTGAATGGGGAAACGAGGCTGCAGCCAGTGTCCACACTTACCTATGAAATCGTTGGCTTTGCCCATGTCATAGTCCCACACCGAGATGTCCAGGGTTTTCTTGGCCAGCTCAGCGTGCGTTATGTCATAACCGAACTCCTGAAACACAGTGATGACTTTATTACAGACTGAAAACTGTGTTCAGCATATGCAAATGAGAAGCAGCGGTTTAGAAAGAACCGACCTCGTTGAACTCTGGGTTGAGGGTCTTCTTTTTGATCTGGGTCTTGTTTTTACCTTTCTTTCCCATATCTGGCTTCAGACAGCTGCAACACAAAGGACCAAAAAAGAGACAAAGAGTATTTCTACCTCAGAAATCTATGAATACTTAAAGGAATAGTTTGACCTTTTAGGACATTTCCTGTTCTCTTTCTAGCCAAGAGCTCGAGAAGACGACTCTCACGTCGACACAGTAAACGGGTAACTGGAGCCAGTAGCCGGTCCAGTCAGCTTGATGCTGGAAACAGGGCAAACTGGTCCAAAGGCGACAAATCTACCAGCAACCCTTGGTTTCATATACCAGTGTTTACTGTACAGACATGAGAGCAGCACCAGTCTTCTCATCTCAAAGCAAATGAGTGGACTTTAGTCTCGATGAGATCTGGACTGCACAGGGAGGCGGAGGAGCTGAATGATGCTGTACACTTTGACAAACGGGTCCGAGTATCCGTTGGAGTCCATGGCGGCCAGGTGAGCACAGCGGACCACGCCCACGATCAGACGACCCTGCTGGCTGCTGTACATCAGTGATACCAGGATCCGACCCCTCTCCTTGGAGTTTTCACCTTCCACACACACACACACACACACACACACACACACACACACACACACAGACTGCTGTTAATGACCACTGCTACTTAACTTAACTTGTGTTTTATATTAAAGTATCTTTCTTCTGGGTAAAGCTCCTTTCAGTATCTTGAACAAGGCCCTATAAAGAGTAAAAGGACATAATTTCAGTGTTTCTAATGCGTATTTTTCCATGTGCACAGAAGGATCATCCCAGGTTTATCCTAATATCTACTGATGAAGGATAGTGCACATGCTTAACTACAACATTGTCTACATGTTTATTATTATTCAGTGGGATTAGCTCCCTTCATATCACTGTTTCCATGCAGCGCTGCTCAGATATTATTCCACCTTAACAAACAAAACTACACTAAGTCCTGTGTGACAAACCAAACCAGTGGCGTGTGACTGCCTCACTGCTTATAACCAGTCACGTTAAGTGACAATATGACGAGCACACGTTCTCTCTTTTATTCAAAACGATTGTTTTGTTGTCGTGGTATTTTGTTACGTCTAGATTTAACAGCTGCGCTGCCGCCTCAGTGTGCCATGATGTGTAACAGGCTGATGTTCTCTAACCTGCCAGTGCTGCATTAAAAACAGAAGGGCCCACAGATAATGATGTGGACAAAATAATAGAAACACCCGTCACTGAAACCTCCACGGTGACCACACAGGTGAACCAACACCTGCAGGACTGTTGGACCTGACTGAGTCAGTCTGAGATGGGTGTTCCTAATAAACTGACCACTGACTGTATGTTTCATCAAAGAAAAGCTAAAGATCACACACACAACTAAGGCATCATCAGCTGTTGTTCCACGAGCTAAAAGCTGATGTCCAACACACTGTGACATGATGTGAGGGTCTTACGTCGTCCTCGTAGAGCGCCATGCCCCGTAGCGAGCCCCCTACAGCCTTCTTCACCTGTACACAGAGCACACCACCAATGACCATCATCATCATCATCATCATCACCAGAGTTATAGCTAATGATGGCAGCAAAACTGAAAAACGTGAACATGCCAGAAATCAACACAGGTTTTGATCCAGCAGCATGTTGCTACATAGCGCTGTCACGTCGCTGCTGCTTTTAATTCCATTCTAATGTTTTTCTCTTTGTGTGCACGGTGTTGAGCACTTTGAATCGACTTCATGTATGAAAATGGGCTGTAAACTTGCCTTAAGCTTCAGTTTGTCCACATTGCAAAATCATTTTTGTTACATACTTGAGAATCAGCAGATGGAGTTTGTTCAGTTTTCATGTGTAGATCGCTCACACATCCAGCTTTTACTATTTCACAGTCAGAGTTGCTCCGTGACCTTGGGAACCACAGTTGACCTCAAGTCCATTTACCAGCTTCTTCATCATCAACTCATTGATGCTGAAGCTTCCTTGTTTTAGGAGCACTATAATCTCCTTTGAGGTGAAACGGTTTGTCGTCTGCTGCTCCCAAGGTCAAGAATTAACTTTAAAACCTGAGGTTTGCTTTGATTTATCCTTAGATTTCCGTCTCCTCCACGTTACAGTGGAGGCTCATTAAATGTTCTGTGTGGTGCTGGCAGCCGGAATGATTTTACCACCACCACCTCTCTGCTCTGGGTGAACCTAAGCTTCAGGTTAAATGTATGTGAAACGTCACTGTGCTTCTCACGGGGATCACTCTCTCCAGACAGACATTAAAGCTCTTCTTCTGGTTAAACTTCAGCCTCTTCAGGGCCACTCGCGTCTCTCCGATGAATTCATTGTGTCCAAACGTGTCCTCGTCGCTCACTGAAAGCCTGAGGACAGACGTCGGGTGAGCGCTTGTCTTTATGATAATGACATGGAAATCGAAGGTCAAGTAGGTGAAGGCTGCTCTTACCGGAGAGTCTTGCGGGACATTTCGTCATCTGTGATGCCGTGGTAGATCAGTGTCTCGTTCCACACAGGATTCAGAGTGGTTTTCAATGTCTTGGTGCGCAGCTTGTTAGACTGAGGGACGAGACATTCAGGGTGGAGAGAAACACAACACTCGTTACTTTGACACCTCATTGCTGTGTCCATCCACGTCCGGTGCACCTGAGGGGAGCGTTAGATTGTTTATGAGCATCACAATAAGTCACAGTGCTTTAGTAACGTTGTTCAGCTTCGCTCGACTTGTGTTCAGTCTGTGTTCAGTCTGTGTGTGTGTGGTGCACCTAAAGATATGTCACCACATTGTTTTTAGTTAATTTATTATTTCATAATTGACAATTGAATGTACGTTTTATTTTGGGTGCCACATTTATATTTTTAGAACATGATGTTTTGTGCCTGCTGTCCTGGATTTGGTGGTTGGAGAACAGAAAAGGGTAAAGCGGAACCTTTGTGCGCTTGGTGTTGCACCCAGAATGGTTTTGGGGAGGGACCTTCTGTCCTCGCCCCAGATGCAGTCTGGATGCGAATGTCAGCGCACCGTGAGAGTTCTGTTCTGATGTCACATTGTGTTTTCCAGGTCAGTAGAGGTGAAACTACACATACAAAGCAGTATGATGTTAGTATTTAATAATTTGTTAGTATAGCGTACTGTTCGGTGTATATTTACATGCTCGTCGGTAATAGTTTAGTTAGTCAAGGCTCAAAGTAAAGCGGAGGTTTCCCGCGGGTAGGACGTCTCGCGTGATTTAGCGGATAATATCGCGAGACCTTCCAAAGTCCGGTTTTATTGACCTTATCCAGTTTTATTGTCACAAATATGCATTGTATATTGTTATTAGGATTTAGGTAAAGTAAGAATGTTTAAACCGAAGTCAATGTAAATGCATGAGAGATAATTATATACTCAGTTTGAAGTAATGTAAATGTATTTTTGTTCAAAGATAACTAGTATTTTTAGTGTGCAGCCCATTATTTATTTGATAACTAATTACAGTTAAGCATGGAACAGTGGAGCAACTGTTTATTCACCACCAAAGTGGTGCTGAGACATGTCACTCAGGTGTTTAAGTAATTATATTGAGAACTTGAGTTAAGAAAATATGGGATAAAAATGCACTTTATTCATGCTGTTATAATGTTTGAATGTTAATGTTTGAATAAACGCAGATGCAGTCTGGATGCGAATGTCAGCGCACCGTGAGAGTTCTGTTCTGATGTCACATTGTGTTTTCCAGGCTGCACTAATTCACTGCTACGCAGCCCCGGCACTTGGGGCCCGTAACATGTGCACAACAGAAGCTGCTGACTCGTGTCCCTGTGTGATTCCAATACGAGCTGCTCATGTGTAGGAGTGTTTCTGAGTCCGTGTTACATTTCTGGCCCTGGCTTAGAAATGTCCCGGCTGAGTGACAGAGGAAAGGACAACCAATGGCACAGTGTCCAGCAGAGACAGGTGACAAATCAGTGGAGGATTAGCCCCGCCCCCCAGGGCCCCCAGCACCCCCCCCAACAATGTGACCATACCTTACTGGCGCCGGGTAACAGGTGCAGCTTCACATACGGGTCAGCGAGTCCGTTGGAGTCCATTGGCTTCAAACCCTGAGACACATCAACGGGGACACACACATTAAACACTGTATGGATGTGTCATGTTTTTTTGTTAAAGTCACTGACACCAAATGTCTCTTCAACTCTGATTTGCATTCATTTGATAAGCTTTGTCCCGTTTTGCTTTGGTTTCTCACGTCTTGTCTGTTCTCGTCGTCGTCCATCTTTCTCGTCTTACCTGTCTTGTCTTGTCTCTCCTTGTCCCATCTTGACTCTCGACACACTTACTGTATTTCATCTCATCTTGTCCCAGTTTGCTTTGTTACATCTTGACTTTTCTTGTAGTCTTGTATTGTCTCTTCTTTTGTCCTGCGTTGTCTCGTCTCCTCTTGTTCCTTGTTTTACTTTCTTCTGTCTTTTCCATCTTGTCTTGTCCTCTCATCTTCTCCCGTCTTGCCTCATCTCGTTTTGTTGTGTTTGGACCTGTCTTGTCCTGTCCTGTCTTGTATTAGCCCACCATGTCACATCTTTTCTGGTTCTGTCTGGTCTCCTTTTCTGTCTTGTCATTTCTTGACCCTTCCTAGTCGTGTCTCATTTAATCTCATCTGGCCCTTCCTGTCTTGTCACACCCCGTATCATCTCGTCTCTTCTTTTCTGTCTTGTCATTTCTTGACCCTTCCTAGTCGTGTCTCATTTAATCTCATCTGGCCCTTCCTGTCTTGTCACACCCCGTATCATCTCGTCTTTTCTGTGTGTGTGTGTTTACCTTGGCTTTAATGATGCAGCAGTGCAGGGCGTGGTTCTCCTGTTCGTAGAGGAGACTGAACTCCAGAGATCCCAGAGTCGCTGCCAGAACAATGACACAGACACACATGAAAACCCTGAAGAAGAAACAGTATCTGAACTTGTATCTGAAAAACAACTTCCCTCTGAGACAGGTGAACATTGATTTGTCGCTTTTCACAGCTCAGCTGTAGGAAATCATGTTTTTTTAAGAGACACAAATGAGCAAAAAGTAAACATCTGGGACACTTTCATGTCCTGTGAACCAGGGCTTTGGTTTAATTAGTCTTACTAGCATCATCTGAGTCATAGTCGTTGTCCTCATCCTCTGTTCGATCTGGTGGGGGTCTGGGGGGAGGGGGCCCGCTGGCAGGTGGATCAACAGCTGGAGTAATTCTGGTTGCAGAAATCTGTGGTGAAATGAAGCTGGGGACAACAGGTTGTCTTTTTTCTTCCACAGCTGGAGGAGACACTGGGTGTTTGGTGTCCAAATCTGCAGCAGGAGACACAGAATCAGTTCCTGCCTGAAACATCTTTGTATAGATTCATCTCGACGTGAAATGTTTCGAGAGCTGCCCCGTAGCGTTGGGCTTATTCTTTTAGAAGGAGCAGCGCTTCTGTACCTGAGGGGGAGGCGGCTTGCTGTGCATTTGCCTGAGGTGGTTTGGAAGCGAACACATGTCTTTCCATCCTCATTACATCTGCTGGAGTCTCATTAAAGCTGCCAGCTGTTGTTGTAGCTGTCTGCTCCTGTTGTTCTGATCCACAGGACGACGCTGCACCGAGCACTGAGGGGACAAGATAAGATGTCACTGCCACCACCACAGCTGCTCTAACTGCTGCTGCTACACTGACATCACAGTGTTTCTGCTCTGATCTCCAGTCTTTTTCTTCTCTTCTTGCAACATGTCCAAGAATATTTCAGTCTTAGGTTTCTGGAGGTTGTTCCCCTCCCCCCAGTACATTTATATTCTTAAGCTGCTGCATCACACCACCAGATTCGATTACACAGTTTGTCTTCCATTTCCTGACTCCAGCGTTTATCACAGAAGGTCCAAACCTCGGCGCTTCCTCGCTCACTCCAGAGTGTGAAGGTCAGACGACACAGTTACCTTTAGTTTCACCATAAGTCAGAGATGTTTTAGCATATAAAGTACACTGGTGCCAGTTCATGCAAAGTCTACATAAGTAGAACCATCATCATCAAACCGAGCCTGAAATTAAACAGCAGTCAACATAAGGCTTGTGGTCAGAGCGGGTTTTCTCTGTAGCATCTGCTGGACTGGGTGTAAAGAAACACTGGGGAGAGAACATGACAGATCATTCTCTGCATATCGCTGACTGACAGGAGTAAAGAGTACAGAAGTGTTTATCGTGCATTTCATTGTCACCTTGGTTACTTCTTCTTGTGCATTCAGAGACACTGTTGGTGTGAGTGAGAGATTTTTAACGAATACATTTCTGTCAGAACAGCAGCAGGTCCAACCACTGTGAAATCTAATTTCTTTGTATGAGTTACCGTGTCCCTGGTGACGTGCTGGAGCCGAGCTGTTCTCAGTGCTGGGCTGTCGAGGTCTGCACAGAGGGAGGGGGGCAGGCAGGCCCTGCTGGTCTCTTCCCCTGAAGAACCAGGCGCCCGAACGCCTCAGTACCTGCAGGAGCAGACAGTGAATTCATGAATGAAGCTGAGTTTGGAGAAGTGGAGTTTGGCTGTAGCCAGCTCCTGGTGGCCGGCAATGGACTCAGGGTGACAGAGTAAAGGGGCGGTTTGGCCTGCAGACACACAACACGCCACACTGTCACTAATCACCTGCACTAAGGACAGAACATACAACAGACCTTAAAGCGCCAGTTCAAACCAGTCACATCGTATTTAAAAAGCCAACAGCTTTATAAGACCTCACGTTCAGCCGACCTGACTAATGAAGGAGAATTGTTTTGTGTGGTTGCTTATGTGCTAAGTATGTGTTTGATTTCAGTTTATTTAATTGTTCCTTTATTTTATGGACCAGATAAACAGACGGACAGATGAGAGCATTGAAAGAGTCCGAGCAGACCGATGCTGAGACCTGAACAGACACAGCTCCATGGTCACCACAGCATCACTACGAACAACAGAAAGCAGACCTTTTCATTCAAATACTATCTGTACTTTTGAGAAATTAAATAAGAGGAGAAATAAATCATTACTTAATATTCATTTTGGATTTCCAGGGGTATCGATGGAAGCTAATTTTCCAGGCCACTGGAGGGTGAAATGTAATTCTGTGCTAAAAGGTGAGTCTAAAAGCCAGAAGAGGCTTCGTGTCATGAGGAAAGCTCTGGTTCTGGTGACAGACGAGTGACACATTGCCATAATGTGGCCTCAAGATTTGATCAAACCCACTCTGGTCTTCATCTCCTCTGCTCCTCACCTCTTGGTGTTCATTGCAGATTCTGCACAGCCACACTGGGCAGGTCCTGCTGTTGCTCCAAATGCCACATTTGCTGCACATGTACTGCGAAGAGACACATGCACAGTAGAATCCTACTCAGATTTAGTTCGGGGCACAAAAAGGTCAGATAGTATTAACTTCTACTTAGTTTTAAGAGCAATTAGAACCAAAATGTGATACAAAAAACCAGGAACGTGCGTGTCAGAACACGTTAGCACGTGACCTGCTGGGTGCTTATCGCCATATCTGCACACACATGTCCTGTCCATGCAGAGACGTCCCTGCGTCCTCTGGGAACCTGCTCTGTGAGGGTGTACTGTCTGTTCTCTTTCCTCGTCCAAGCAGAAATAATGCAGACCACCTACCTTTTTGCACTGTACACAGAGGACAGCCGTGACCCCCTGTGGTCCAAAGGACGCCCCACACAGCAGACAGAGCGCCTGTCCATCACCACATGCTGTCCTCTTGATATGATCCAAGCGACTGGAAAGACGCCTGAGAACACATGAAAATCAGTGTCAGACCAGGCACAAACTTGGCAAAGCTCAGTGAGCATCTGCATCCACGGCCACCGCTGTGAGTCTGTGCAACAGATACAATAGTTTTTCTATCTCACTCAATCCGCTCTTGCTCCCTGGCCTCCATCATGGCCGCACGAGCGAGGACACCGTTGATGATCTCCTTCTCCTCATCCGTGAGCTCCTCCCCCAGGGAGCCGCCAGATGTGTTCATTGTTGGTCCAGTCCTAAACCCAAAACACCCAAAAATAGACCCACAGAGTGTAAGTGGCATTAAAATGAAAAGGTCAGAACCTCCAAAAAGTGCATAACTCAGGAGAGCTAGACACTGAAACCTCAGGACACGTGCAAAACTGGAAAGACCTGGACTCAGAGCAAGTTGTCTCACACAGTAACACACAAGGGTTGTGTGACTAATGCTACACGTCTGGTTCATTTGAAAGTACCTGCCCGAGGCCAACAGTTTGAAAAGGCTTTGAAAAAGCTGAGAAACATTTCAATTCAACAAGTTTCAATAAAATGTTTTAAGTTCATGTTCTGAGTTTAGCCACTTTAGAATGTTTACTTCTGTTAACTCACAACAGGATTTTATTTTTTATCATTACAGCTTCTGAGGAAAGACACATTTAAACTTGAACAAACATCTAGTTATGCTCAATAGGAAAATTAATTGTAGGAGGAGATGTGGAGCGAACACACATTTAGAATTTAGCATGGTGATATACATGTCCAGGTCTTTTGGATGAAGGCTGCAGACCTCAGCATGAAGACTGGATTTTAAATTCACAACTTGTCAACATTTGGCTCATCGGATTTTAAATTCACAACTTGTCAACATAAACATTTGGCTCATTGCTCTGATCTGCTGCTGTGCACCTGACACCAAAGTGTTTCCTTGGAAAACTACCAGAGACCTGGAGAACAGAGGCAGTGTGAGGAGCAGTTTGTCCCAGGAGCTCGTACAATCTGCACTTCCCAGTTTGGACGAGACAGGCGACTGACTTCTGCTGTTATCACAGTGTCACACATTAAAGGTAGCTGCTGAATATACAGCACATGTTGAGGCCATGATGTTTGTAACATCCCTAGCAAGCACACAAAACGACCAATCAGATGACAAAAACAACATTTGCTTTCAGTTAACAAGCTGAATCCGATTTGCACCGGCAAGACGTTTGGCCTTGGCACCGTCTGCCTGTACAAGCAGACAGGTGCGTTATTCCGCTTGGCAGACACGGCTCCAGGCATTTCACTGTACATCCACATGTCAGTGTGCCATGTCTGGAGACGCACTGAGCTAATTGGACCAGCCATGATTTATTTCAGCTCTGCTACACCTCCTTCCATACCAGCATCTTTGGCCGTTAAATGCCAAGCATCTGCTGGATGTGTCCGGGTGCACGGGCGCTGTGCACTTGAAAACAGTTAACCGAGGCTGACTGCTGACTGTGGAAATGAACTATTAGCTGTAATGTGTTATTGAAGTGTGGTGTGCGGTGTGCATGCCTGAAGACACTTTCACTGTGGGGACGTGCACTTATCTTCTGACAGGAACATTGTTAAGAGGACAACATGACCTTGGCTTCTCGCTTCTGGTTGAACCAGGCTGGAAACAGTCACCAGCTCCCTGACTGACTGATGCTGCAGTCTGACAATTAGGAGAATTGTTTCTGCAGTAAACACATTTGATTCTCTCTAAACGGTCTTACCTGACCTGTTAACACCATCATTTCCCTTTTGACTTACCTGTAGCATCTGGCTAAGCCACAGTGAAGGTCCTCGGTGTTTATGACTGTGTCCAAACATTAAACATCATATGAGTTAAGGCAGCAGCTGCTGAGTAAGAATTTTAATGCCTCACCTACTTAAAGGCTCAGTGTCCTTCATCCTTCTCTTCCCTTTCCCTCCTTTTGCTGCCTGTCCTGTTCCCTGAACAACGTTCAGTCCACATGCTGGTAAATGTCAGGGGCTGCTCACACTGTGGGCAACGTGACAACCTGACAGACTGATGTCTGACAGCGTGTCTGTGTGTGTCTGTCTAGAGGTCAGGGTCGGTACAAAGGAAACGTTCTGAAATGGCCGACACATTCAGGCTGTGAGTCACCACTCTCAACAGATCACACACTCACACACAGACAAAGTCATTTTGAATAAAATCACTGCAGTAACAGGCTGGACCGTGAGAAGGTGACAAATTGGTAGAATGTGGAAAACAAGAAGGGAATTTGTGTTGTGGTTTGTAATCAAGGGATCAGTGGAGGAACTCAGATCATTTACTGAAGTAACAATGGTCACAGTATAAGATTACTGCACTACAAGTAATGATGCATTCAGCAGTATTATAAGAGAAAGTACAGAAGCTTTAGCTACTGAGTGTGAATACCCTCATGCACTTTATTACAAACAGTTAAAAGATGAATACGACTAGTTTCTAAAGTACGAAGCTACAGCCAGCAGATAGTTAGCTTATCTTATCTCGTTTTAGCATAAAGACATAACATGTCAAACTGTTCCTTTAAGGTATCATAGGTGAGTACTAACCATGTAGAAAGGCCACCGTCAGTGTCACACTATTAAATGTGTACATTCAGGTTGTTGGAGGTTTGTTAGTTTAATCTGCATCATATTTCAAAAACTGATCATGTGTTAGCCAAACACTACAGTTTTGAGGTACTGGACCTTTACTTGAGGGCGGCACCATGGTGCAGCAGTAGCACCGTGGCCTCCCGGCTAGAAGGTTGTGAGTTGGACCCTCACATCCACCACTGGAAACACAGAACTTTTAATTAAACAGAAAACGACAGATGTCAGCACTTACAGTCACTATAATATATAACAAGCTATGAGTTAGAGTCAGGCTCAGTCTCCCTCTCTCTGTCACGTGCACATGCTCACACACAGGCATTTCAGACACTCTCTACGTGCAACTGTAATATGTTTATGGTCAGGGGAAGACTGGATCTGGGTCTGTGATGGGAGAGGGGCTCACGTAGCTCACGGCTCCTCCAGCAGCCTCCTTGCTGCTCAGAGCAGGAACAGGAGCTTTAGCACTGGAACAGCTGTACTAGGTTGACTTACGGAAAATGAAACTCTAAAACTGACATATTACTTTGTTTGCATGCCAACTAAACCTGACGTCCATCCCAGCAGTTCACTCACTGCTGACTAGTTGGAGCAAAACACAGTAAACCTAAGAACAAGTCAGCCCGTTTGTTTGCATGCCAACTAAACCTGACGTCCATCCCAGCAGTTCACTCACTACTGACTAGTTGGAGCAAAACACAATAAACCTAAGAACAATCAGCCCAACACGCCACCATGTGATGTACAGCACGCCTCTGTTACAGCGCCATCTGACTGAGGGGTGTGTTTGTCCATGACCCGAGAGGCGAACCGGGTGCTAATCACTCTGGGATGGAGAAGAGTAAAAGATGTTTTCACCTGCACACTTACAATTTTCAAAACATACTAAACAGAAATTTCATTTGAGATAAACATCTGAATCTTTAATATGAAGATGTGTGGAAAGCTGTGAGGCCGTGCTTTTAGCCCCACTAGTGGCATGGCTCCATGGAAGGCCATGCTGGACAGTCAGTTGGTCTAGACTGACATATCTCAACAACCATGGAATGGACTGGCTTTATGTCACACAGACATTCCTAGGTCCTAGAGGGTGAACTCTAATGACCTTGGCGATCCGGAACCTCTCCTCTGGTGCTGACTTTTGTGATTTTTGGGTGGCACTGTCACCAGGTCACTTTGGTTTCTGACCAAATACATTGAAAATGAGTGATATTCCCATCAGTCTCAGCTGTGCATGGTGTTTTGTGCTAATTAGTGAATACCGTATGCTAACACACTAAATTTACAAAGTGAAAATGGTAACCGTTAGCATGTTAGCGGTGTTGATGTGAACGCCTAAATATGGCCTCACAGAGCCGTTATCATTGCAGCAGTCTCTTAGCCATGTCCTACTCCATCCAACCCAAGAACAGGTCAGACTACAGGACCTGAAGTGCACGCTGCTGTTCTGTAATATTTGATTTTCTGTATCTTTCAGGTTTTCACTGCTCTTCTGTCGGCCTGTAGCTCCCTGACATTCACACTGTTTGTCTCCCAGATGCTGGTGAATAAAGTAAAATAGGCCTTCACCAACCTGTTATTAGCATTAATGCCAACACACACTCTGTGCACATACACACATTCTTTCCCGCTCTCACACACAGACTGTGTGTGCAGAGCAAGGACCTGTCACACACAGTCACGGGCCCAGAGAAAAGCAATGCAAATTGACATGAGGTAAAGGGAAACCAAGGCACTTTAGCTCCATGAGACTGTGTGGGCTGGCTAAGAGCTGCAGGGCTACACACACACACACACACAAGCAAACACATAGGTCATCCTCATGTAACTTCTGTGACTCTGAGATGCCTCCCTGCTTCACACTGGTGTGACTTACTATACTGTATTTTAATATTTCATATTTGCGTTTTAGGTGCAGAAAGGTGCCTACTCACTATCAGTCGGCATAAACATACTGCAGCATGCACAGTAAATCATATATCTAACTGTTTAATCATTTATCTAATATTTCAAGAGGGAAATAAAAAGCCATGTTCATATCATAGCATAAGACTTCAAGAAAATAAAAATGAATGAATAATTAAAACATATAACTCATCCTGCAGGAGCTTCGTCCCAGCCTAACGCTTCATTTCTAAAGGCCACTAATACGCCAACATGTAGGCTGCATGTCACTGACTCTATATGAAGATGGATGGCATGTCACCACTTCCTGCCGCTATGCAAAACTGAAACCAAAATATGACAAATACATTGGCGGCCATCTTGTTTTTTTTGCTGCATTTTACAACCAGATTCTGCGCAGTAGCAACTACAGGTGGAACGGCATCGGACGACCAAACAAAGATGTCAAATCATCTGAAATGCCCGTCTTTTTATATTATTATGTAGCCTATGAAAACAAAGTTATCAGAAAATGACTGCTTGTACACAACTCAGTCTGATAATATCCACCTAAGATCATCCCTGGGAAACGTGTGGTTTGTACTCAGAATTGTTTGGTGTGTCTCATAGGAATTAGGGTCCAATCATCGCTGGGAAAAACAGAACATCTTCTTTGTGAACTTCAGTTTCTGCACAACATGAACAAAAACTAATGTGGAGGTCACATTATCGTCCATTCGCTTCATGACTTTCTCTAAAAAGCGTTTTGCCATTGTTAGTTCTGCACTCATCACTCATTTAGCAGATTTGTAGCGTTTACTTCTGAGAACATGCACAGCCAACACGCTGCAGGATACACGAACAGCCAAGATGCGCACGCAAACACGTAGTTAAAAGCCATAATCAGCTGTAAGGTTACTATCACAGCCTTCAGTGTCACCTTAGCCTCAAGTTGTTTTGGGAAAGAAGGTCTAAATGAGTAGAATAAGACCCACGTCGTACTAAGCCCCAATTACCCTTTGAAGAGAGCAGAGAAAAAGTAGGTGGGAGGCTGCACGTTTTGGTTGATCACATTGTTGGACGCTCACTAATTACGAGCTTGAGTGTTCTGGATCAGTCACTGGACCTTAAATGAGCTTAGTCATCTCAGGAAACACAACCTCATCTATTTCAGCAGCAAGATCCCAGTTATTTACTGTAGAGAGAACATTCCCCAAGACTCCAAACACTCTCCCCAAATTAGTCTGGAGCATTTCAACACTCCTACACACACACACACCGTCACACTGTCACTTCTCAGCTCGTCCACACAGACACCTCATCCATCCGTCACCTTCATTACCATCCATTTCCAAACAAGCTTCATCTGTTCATCCGTTTAGCCATTCATCATCATCCACTCATTCTACTAGCTCGCCTCCCCGCTACGCCACTGAGGTTCGTCAGACTAGTGAGGAAGCAGCTTATGGAGCTTAGTTCTGCAAAGACGCTTCACCACCTACTTTATCCTCGTCTCATGACACTCTGGGGATCATTAACCTCTGCACACACACAGAGATATAGACAAGCCCTCTTTCTAATGACTCAGGGTTACAGGGGTAATCTTCAAAGCCCAACATTTGTGGTTGAGAGCTTTGACATCACACAGGAAATGACTGTAGCGACTGTGTGTAGTGAAGAAGGCGACACAAGTAGGATGGATGCAGGAAATGACTGTAGCGACTGTGTGTAGTGGAGAAGGCGACACAAGTAGGGACCACAGCAGGATGGATGCAATGTTTTTAGGCCTGTTGCTCCACTGACAGATGACAAAGTCAGTCAGTCCACTTTGGTTCCAACTGAAATATGTCAACAACTACTGAATGTATTATTGTGGACTTTTGTGCAGACATTAACGCTCTCCAGAGGATGAACCCTAATAATTTCAGTGATCCTCTGACTTTTCCTCATGCACCACCAGTGCTCGCAAGCCAGCAAGTAGCCTGTCGGTTTGTAAAGAGCAAGCTACCACGTTTTGTATCTTATCAAGAGCAAGCTACCACGTTTTGTATCTTCTTATGTGACACTGTTCCAAGCAGCACTTTTGTTTGTATATATGTCATCTAGAAGGAGACGACAACGATCTTCTCCTCCACAGACAATCACCCAGTGTAGCTAAACACCAAACTTCCTGTCACATTTTTTTCCAGGAGAACTTTGGCTTCATTCTGCATTTCATCTTGGTATAAATGGAGTTTGTGTTGTATTGGTCATTCCCACATTGCCTGGCCTACGGTCCCACATCAACCCACGCCCTGCTCAGTGAGTCTTTACAGCTAGTCTGGTGACGTGATGACTCTCAGTCCACCGCTCTGCTCTAGTCCAAGATGAAATGTCCTGAAATCCCTGGACTTCTTATTTAAAAGTGTCCAACACTTTGGTTTATGACCAAATACCTACAAAACTAATGACAGCAACATCAGAGTTTACTGTGCAACACGCTAACACACCCTGCTGAAAGTCAGCACTGTTATTGTTAGCATGTTAGCATGCTGACATTAGCATCCAG